AATGAAAGAAAATGGATTTCTATTTTCACCAATAAAAGAAAAAAAAAGTTTTGTTTAGTGCAGGCAGAATTTTCATTTAAAAATCCAGTTCAATATGTCAAGTTTCAAGTTATTACAAACTCTGCTCTCTTGGCTAAGAGTCTCAGACAGAGAGGAGAGTAGAAAAGAGAGAGAGAGTCTCAGACAGACAGGGGAATTAGAAGGAAGAAAGAGATTCCATAGACGCGGTTGGTTGTTTGTTTCACATGTGAATTATATCACACAACACTGCACATGTGTGGCAACTTCATGTCTTTCTTGCCGGGGGAGGGGAGGGGGGTGAATCAGCAATCAGCTCAGTGATAGGCTAGTTGTTTTTAGAGGAGGGGTTAGAGTATTGTTAGTGAAAGGAGTAAGGTAAGTTAAAAACATGTTATTCTGTCCCCCTCTAGTCACACACTGCTGAAAATTGGCCAAATAATTTAAAGTAAAAATCTTGGCAGTAAGTAAAAAAGTGAACAAAAATAAAAAAGAATAAAGTTTTCTTTTTTCTTTTTTTTTTTAAATTTTATTTCCTTTATGATATTAAGAAATGCATTTTAACAGGTTGTGAAAAGAAAATATTTCAAGTTTTCTTTTGTAAGGATAGATTCCAAAAACCCCTGCTGATAGTAGCGGATCATCCAGGCATGTCCCCAAAATCACTATGATTGAGCTTTAGTACCATTATTAATAAAACAACGGCTGTTATTAAGTTTAAATTAAGGTAAACACTAGCACTGCAATACCGCAATCAATATTTCAGGCTGAGCACTATTTAACTTTACCTTGGCAAGCCCACTGGATGACAGAGGAGATGCCACTTTCCCCACAAAGAAATATATTTAAATGAGGTAAAACAATCATTAAATAAAATGAATTAAAAAAAACATATCGGCAGTTTTTTTTTTTTTAGCTTTCATCACCTTAAGATCTGATTGTTTTTAGGACATTTAAATTGATTAATTATTTTATATTTTCGAAATACTACTCCTATTATTGCTATGATAATCAAACTTAGTAGCCATACATGTTCTATGTACACTGACTCAAAGTTGCCCGTGAGCTATAGTTATAGCTCTCTTTATGCTAGTTACCTATGAGCTAAACCAATCCCATTACAATTATAAAAGACTTATATCTATGTCATTATTATTATTATAATTATTTAATCAGCAAGCAGAATGCTAACAAAGTGATACTGTGGTACAAATATACAAAGCCCAATATACCCATCATGATATTACCAGGCATATTATTATTATTGTTCAGAGCTTTTCCTTCATGTGCTACTTTGTTCATCCATGAAGCCAAATCCATCCCTTTGACTTGGAATTACCATGAAGGTGTGATAGATTTATTTGATAGATAGAGCTCTGCTTAATATGTGAGAAGTGCCAAGAAGGACTATATTCTAGACATCTTATATCTTGATGTTGCTAGGGATTTTGTCGATGTATCATCATTATATTTTCTTTAAGTGGATTTTTATTTATTATTCTGACATATTTTTTATTACAAGTTATTTTTAGTGGATACATGTATCTGAGTACATGCTTTATTTATTTTAAACAGCATTTTATTTTAGCCACTGGCCTGAACATTTGGAAAGTCTGATTAGAAGTGCATTTTTCTTTAATAAGATTTCTTGAATGATCAGACTGGTAGATGAAATGGTGTTTAAAATACAATGAGTACCTGTTCAAATATGGTCCACTAAAAATAATGTTTAAAGTTATGTGTGTGTGTGTATATATATATATATATATATATATATATATATTGTGGAGTAAAGAGTACACCCCTATGACACTGAATTTGTCCAACACTAAGGGATCCATGGTATGAGGTCAAGTAGTTGTATTGGAGTCAAACATTTCACTGCCAGGCTTGCTACATACTTAAACTCAAATGAAGTTATGCATAAAAACACATTACTTCTTTAGAAATTGCTTTGTTTACATTAGGATACAAAACTGAGTAGATATGTATATTTTGAGAGTGCCAAAGTGGTCGGTGCAAGATTTGTGTTTTATATATATAACATTGACCTCATCCCACAATCCTCCTCTTGCTCCTTGAGATTCATATTTTTCCAAAACCAATTCTTAGCAAATCATTGTGGTAAATATATATATATATAAATATATAATATATATAAAATAAATATATATATATATAAAATAAATGGGAGAAGTCCATTTATTTTGATGTATGAGGATCTGACAACTTAACCAATTGATTCAGTTATGAATTTTGTGTGATAAGTGGCACTTTAGACCCGCAAGTGATTTGCTAAGAAGACCACATAAGGAGCAAGAGTGAGGATTGTGGGATGAGGTCACTGTTAGATTGGCTGACCTTTTAGATCTTGCTTCTTGAAGACGATTCAGAGTAGCAGATTGAAAACCACCAAGTCCACTGAAACACGTTGATCTCCACTCTAAGGCTAAGCGCTCGAGGGTGTTATGAGGTATATTGACTGCAGACAAATTGCTCTTCAGCTTGTCTTTGTATCTTAGCCGTGAGCGTCCTACATTCCTGTAGCCCTGATCTATCTGGCTGTACATTAGGATCTTGGGTATCCTGTCATCAGACATTCTCAACACATGACCAGTCCACTGCAACTGAGACTGTATGAGGAAAGTCCTGATTCCTCCAATATTACACCTGTTAAACAGGTCTATATTGGATGTCCTGTCTTGAAGGCTAACTCTACAGATGGCACGCAGACAGCTCTTATGGAAAACATCTAGATGGCATATATGGTATTTGTAGGGAGTCCACAACTGAGCTGTACAAAAGATGGCAAGGACAACAGGTCTGTAAAACTGAATTTTCGTATCCAGTCAGATACCCCACTCATCCCACAAGTGATGGTGAAGCTTACCCAAAGTACTAGTAGCCTTAGCAATCCGATGTATGATTTCATCATCTAAAGATCCACTGTAGTTGACTTTGCTACCAAGATAGGTGAAAGACTTTACATAGTTCAGGGCTGGAAATTTGTAGACTGGTGGTTTTTGTTTCACACCCACAGAATTGCTTCGGAGTAGGACAAGGTTGGTGCACTACATCAGTTTTCTTTATGCTAAGTGTAAGACCAAAGACTTTACATGCAGCAGAGAAACGATTTAGTAGATGCAAAGGATGTCACAACAAAAGCAGCACCAATGCTCTTTTATGGCTCTGAGAGCTCATTGGACCTGACTTTTGCACTTCTTGTAAGCAATCTTCTTAGTGGACAAGTTCTTGTCCTCAATTCACACTTTATGAGAAGAGTGCATTTGATCTATAAACTGTTGAAACTCTGTATTATTGTTATCAAACCAGTCTTGGTGTTTTTGATGTGGTAGTCTGAAAACCTCCAAGGATGCAGAATGTGTTGCATCCCACAGAGCTCTCCAAGACAACTTGATGTCATTGGTAATGTTTACAGAAGCAAGTGCAGCATCAAGTTTGTCAGAGAGCTCAATTTTTATTTCAGTCGATTTAAGAAGCAGTACATTAATGCACTTGAGCACTGTAGAATTTATAATCCTTCGCTTTTGCAGATGCAGTGTAGACTTACTCTGAAGTAGAGCATGATCTGACAGATAGAAAGTTGTGTTGAATGAACACATGATCTTAAGATTTTCCATGTCCCTTCTTTTGGTGATGACAGGAATCGAACCTGCATCCTATATGGAACTGCCATATAGCCTGATGTGCTTTTAAAATCGACATTGCTAACCAAATGCTCCTCTCTGGCCCAATCTGTTAAAGGCACATCAGGCTATATGACGGTTCCATATAGGATACAGGTTCGATTCCTGTTGGAGGACGAATATTTTCTATGAAAATTTCTCGGACATTCAGGCAGGTAAATGTTGTTTAATACTGTTCATTATAAACAGAGCATTTATTTAAATATTCGTATCTATAAAAAAAAATGTATAAACATAAAAATGTCTTAAAATAATTGTCAGACTTTGTTCATTTCATTATATATATATATATATATATATATATATATATATATATATATATATTTTCCTACCTTCAGTGTAGAGGATGCATGAAGATTTTAGCAAAAGCTTTTGGGGCAAAAATGTGCAGCTTATTTACAAAAAATAAACTGCATTGGATCAAAGAGCTTATCAACTATTTTAAAAGTTCTTATGATTTAACCTGTGACATCAGCTCTTATATAATGTTTATATAGCGCTCCAAGTTTTTATGCCTAACAAAAACCTGTAATTTTCTTTAGAAAAATAAAAATTTCAGTAAATAAAATGGCACAATGATAATAAACAAGAATAATTATGCAATTATGAGGTTGAATAAATGTGTCATGTATTAATTCCTAGTACTTGGAAACTAATTCTGTAATAGAAACATTACAATTCAAAATTATCTTTCTCAGACATTGTATATCCCTTTTATCAAACACACAAATAAAGAATGATTGTGAGACAAAGAAATTTTTGTATTGAAAATAAGATCATAGAAATAAACAGGTTACATCATTATATAAAAGAGAATAAATTTGTATTGGAGAAAATGGAGAATAAATTTGTATCAGAAAACATAGGGAAAAAAGTTAATCCAGGCAAATCCCACCGGTTAGATGTTAAGACACTGATAAAAAAATAAAAAAAAACATTAAAAACAATTGTTTTAAAATGGCAGAAATATTATCAGAATTTTAGAGTTAAGGCATTTAAAAAGAAAAAGCAAAGAGTTGGGCCACTTATTAGGTTGTTATAAGAAGGCAGATGAACAGTAGAGAGAGAGAATTAAGAGGAGTGATTATTTTTTTCAGTCATTCTGATGACAGTGCAATAAGTGGCCTGGTTGTTAATATCTGCCAAGTCAGTGTGTAAGGCTGATTGAATTGAATAAAAATGATAGCCACACCTATTCTTTGAGTTGGTCACAGAGGAATGAGGTCCTTGTGAGTTATAGCAAGTTTATAGAAATTTGCTTTCTTTACTAGTTAGTCAACCAACATATCTGTGAGAGGTATCAGTGCAAAAATATACATGTACATATATATACTTGTACAGCCACATACAAAAGAAAAATGTGTGTGTGACGAATGAACATGAAAAAGGCAAAAAGAGGATGGAAAATGAGTGAAACAGAATGAAAAAATGCAGGAGAGGGAGGGAAAGGAATGGGGGAAAATGCAGGAGAGGGAGGGAAAGGAATGGGGGAAAATGCAGGAGAGGGAGGGGAAGGAATGGGGAAAATGCAGGAGAGGGAGGGAAAGGAATGGGGGAAAATGCAGGAGAGGGAGGGAAAGGAATGGGGGAAAATGCAGGAGAGGGAGGGAAAGGAATGGGGAAAATGCAGGAGAGGGAGGGAAAGGAATGGGGAAAAATGCAGGAGAGGGAGGGGGAAGGAATGGGGAAATGCAGGAGAGGGAGGGAAAGGAATGGGGGGAAAATGCAGGAGAGGGAGGGAAAGGAATGGGGAAATGCAGGACAGTGAAGGAAAGAAATGGGGAAATGCAGGACAGTGAAAGAAAGGAATGGGGAAAATCCAAGAAAGGGAGAGAAAAAATGAGAAAATGCAGGAGAGAGAGAGAGAGAGAGGGAAAAAGAATGAGAAAATGCAGGAGAGAGAGAGAGAGAGGGAAAAAAAATGAGAAAATGCAGGAGAGAGAGAGGGGAAAAAGAATGAGAAAATGCAGGAGAGAGAGGGGAAAAGAATGAGAAAATGCAGGAGAGAGAGAGAGAGGGAAAAAGAATGAGAAAATGCAGGAGAGAGAGAGAGAGGGAAAAAGAATGAGAAAATGCAGGAGAGAGAGAGAGAGAGGGAAAAAGAATGAGAAAATGCAGGAGAGAGAGAGAGGGAAAAAGAATGAGAAAATGCAGGAGAGAGAGAGGGAAAAAAGAATGAGAAAATGCAGGAGAGAGAGAGGGAAAAAGAATGAGAAAATGCAGGAGAGAGAGAGAGAGAGGGAAAAAGAATGAGAAAATGCAGGAGAGAGAGAGGGAAAAAGAATGAGAAAATGCAGGAGAGAGAGAGAGAGAGGGAAAAAGAATGAGAAAATGCAGAAGAGAGCAAGAAAGCAAATGGGAAAATGCAGGAGGAGGAGTAAAAAAATGAAAAAACGGAGAAGAAAAAGGAAAAAGAGGAGAAAAAGCAAGAGAAGGAGTGGGAAATGAGAGGAGGAGAGAAATACATGTGATATTGATGCAATCAGTAGTAGCAGCTGGCTGGTAACTTCCAACAGACATGTTTGGACATGGTTCCAGATGCTGCAGTCCAGCTCAAACAATGAGAGACAGACACACACACACACACACACACACACACACACACAGGGGAATGAAGGAAAAGGAAATGGACAAGGGGAATGGTTGGAGAAAATGTGGAGAAAGGAGAGAAAACAAAAAAGGATGTTTAGGAAGATGCCAATGAATGGGGAAAAAAAATTATACCAACCACCCAAACTTCTTTCCCATTTTTTCTCACTTTCCAAAGCATTGATATTTTTTCTTTTCTCCTTATTAAGAGTTCTGACATGTGTATGCGCGTGTATCTTGGAGTTTAAAGAAGATAACCACTGGTTATACTGCTTTCTATTCAAAAGAAGAAAATTCAGCTAAGAAAAATCTTTATTTAAACTTTTTCTCATTTCTTTGTCAAACGACAAACTAAAGACTTTCTTTTTTTGTATTGTTGTAACTGATGAAAACTGAAATTAAGCAAAAAATAAAATATTTTCTTTGCCTTTAGCACTTCTCTATGCCAAAAAAAATAGACTTGTTTAGTGGCTGAGACAGTCATGTTGATCTTTGATCTCAGGAAAAGGCCAAGATTTTTAATGCCAGTTGTCCAAGCAAGCACTATGAAGATTGGTGCAATGCAGTTTTTCCCCTGCCCTCAACATGTGACCCCATGCCAGACCAAACTAACCTTAATAAATTCAAGCTATATATATATATATATATATATATATATATATATATATATATATGCATGTATACATACACACACAGATATATAAATATATACACACACATGCTTAAAAAAAAAAAAAAAACGCAAACTTTATCGTCTGCTCCACCATACTTAACTATGAATATGTTTAGTTGTCAATAACATGATTAACATGTGAGAAAAACAAGACTCCATAGTTAAGAAATGTTTCTATACAATATTAAGTAATATTTGTTTGAAATCAGATTAATTTAAATTTGCTAATTTTTTTCAAATGATGTTTTAGAAATACATATTTTATTTTTCCAAGATTTTTTAAGTTAAGATTTAACTTTTGTTTAGAAATATGTCAGAAATGGTCATTTTGATTGATTTTACTGAAAAAAAAAAAAAAAAAAAGAATAAAAAAAATATTCTCATCATTATGATTTCTGTTTGAAATATACCACAGAGTATTTTGCTGACTGGAATTAGTAAATTTTAAATGATTTAACTTTCAATTAAAGCTAGAATGAAAGCTTCAAGAAAGCTTTTTCATTTTTAAACCTTCATTTTAAACAATAAGTATGCCAAATTAGGGGAGGTGTGCATATATATGTTATAAATTTTCTAAATAAATAATTATATATATATATATATATATATATATATATAGATAGATAGATATATATATAGATAGATATATATAGTAAGTATATACATACATACATACATACAAACATACATACAAGTATATATACATACACACACACAGTGTAGGGAAACAAATATTTGTGCATATACAAATTTTTAATTTCTTGTATTACCAACTAATGAATAAACATACTTTTCATACAATTAACTTTACACAGATGCATAATAACTAAATAGAAAAAAAAGAAAAAAATTGATTTAATAGAAATAAATTTATCCATTTTAATGGGTGAATACAAATTACAGATTTTAAATCTTTTAAATTGCTTTAATACTCTGGATTATTCAAGTGGAATATTCTAGAATGTTCCATTAATGTTATCAGTAGTTATTTTCAGCCTAAAAAATACAAACAGAACATTCTGTAATTGATATTCGTGCAAGAAGTTTATCATCATGGCAAGAGGTAAAGAATTGAGAGGTATAAAAAAAACTCAAAACTGTTAAAATCTGAAAAACAGGTGCTCCACAGAAGATTTCTTCAAGATCTTTGAGGTAAATAATGCCTCAAATTGAACAAAATCCAATGGTTATTCATCAAGATTTGCAGGATGATTTGCTTTCATCAGGAATCTGTGTCACTAAATGGACAATAAGCAATGAAATTTATAGGAACAATCTAAAGTCACACTCCTCTCGGAAAACTCCACTGATATTGAAAAGACACAGAGATGCCAGGTTGAAATTCGTTTGTGAATAAGGAAAAATCATATTGGGAATGAGTATTATGGACAGACAAAACCAAAATTCAAGAAATCAGGTATAGAGGAAAGTTGGCAATGCCTTTAACAATACAGTTCCAACAGTGAAATTTGGTGGTAGCAGCATCATGGTTTGGGGTCATGTTTTTCTGCAAAAGGTACTGGCAACATATCAGTAATAAATGGTAGAATGATATCTACAGCATATCAAAATATTTTGGAAGCAAATTTAATGATTCTAAACACACTGCAAAATCTACAAAGAAATGGCTTGCTGAAAATAATCCTGAAATGGCCAAGTTAGTCCCCACATTTATACTCAATTGAAAATCTGTCACATTATTTGAAAATTCAAATCCAATCAAGTGCTTCAGCAAACATCCTGGATCTGAAAAAGTATTAAATGAAGATTATGTATTCTTTTTTGTATTGTACAAATACTTTTTTTACAAATTGAAATGGATAAATGGGATTTATCTGTATCTATAAAACAGAAGATGTATGTGTGTGTATGCTATTTATGAACATCCACATTTCTTGACTGATTTTGATGAAATTGTGCACACATGTTGCAAATTTATTAAGATAGGTCAAGACCAACTTTTCAATCTCCAGACCCCTGGGTTTGGCAGAAAAATCAATAAAGCTGAAGGTGGGTACAACTTTTTGCAAGAATGAAGGCAAAGTTTTACACAAACAAAATTTTTACTAGATGGGCTGATGTTTTTTGCATTTAATGCAAAACATAGCTCATGTTACAAGGTTTATGTAGAGTGCTTGATAGTTTTCCTGCGACATTGGCTTCACACAAAAAATTGCAAAAAAAAACTGAAAAAATTATCCTATTTAAAATAAAAACTTGAATAACTTCCTCATTATTTATCCAATTTTCATCAAACATATCACAAAAAAATTGCCATCATGCAAGAAATAAGATAGTGTGGTTTTAACCCTGCCCGCTTCCCCATATATAACAAAAAAATTACGAAACATTGTTCAAAAAGCCCATTTTTGGGCCACAATCCTTAGGTTTTCATCTGATGCTTTCCAAATTTGACATGTAAATTACATATAACACACAAGTTGTCTTGTGCAAATGTTTGGTTTAGATTATTTCAGTTAAGTGGACAAAATCTGTGACAAACTAGGTTCAAAATTGGCTTTTGCTATTAGCCAATAGTTTCTTAATATGATTCCATCCTAAACTGGCATTGGAACAACTTTGATGCAAAGACTGTTTGAGAAGGATTATTAAAACATTAAAAGGGAAAAATTCCTGAAGAACCTCTTATTAAACCCGGCTTTACAGTAAATGTGAGAAGGAGGAGTGGTGGGGAGTGTTCATGTGTTTGAACTTGCAGCTGAATCAAGCTCTGACACTTCATCCCTGTTTTTGTTTGATTATTAGATTTGTAAACAATGACATACTATTTGAAAATTATTATGGCCATAGGAAATTTAGTGAATATCTAAAACATTGAAACAATTTAATGCAGGTTTTATCGATAGAATTCCTTTATTAAGAAAATCAAACAGTGGCAAAGGACATACTGTAAAAATGATAAGGTGGGTGCGTGGGGGTCAGTAGCTTAGTATACCAACAAATGATGCATGCAAGAAGGGATGAAGGCAGGCATTTCTATACGGGGGTGCAGGTATACATGGTTTGTGTTTATATAATTGCAGCCATGTATACCTGGGTAATGCCAGGTATCTCAGCCATTAAATCTAAAAAATTTTTTGTTTTCTATGCATATTTAGTTATTATGCATCTGTATACAGTTAATTATATCAAAAGTATGTTTTTTTTCATTAGTTGGAAAGATAAATAAATTAAAAATGTGTATGTGCGTGAATATTTCTTTCCTCCACTATATATATATATATATATATATATATATATATATATATATATATATATACATACATACATACACATAAAAATATATATATATATATATATATATATATATATATATATATATATATATATATATATATATACACACACATACATACACAGTTGAAAGATCTGCTTGGTGAGAGTTGAATATTGCTAGTTTGGTTTTGAGGTGTTAAATGTTACAAGCCAGTGTTTCTCCTATTAAGCTGTCAGAGATCAGCTACCAGCCTCTGGTCAACTGGATTTTTGGATGGGCATATATATATATATATATATATATATATATATATATGCATGCCAATTCTGTACAACTAAAGGGCCAAACTTTCTTGCAGAAAATTAACTGCAGGCCACAAGAGTCAATTTCTAGAATAAATTATTGAGTGAAAGAATGGCGCAAATGCATTAATACATCCTAAAGGAGGTGTGTCTTCATCAAAAACAACTATTGGCTGAAAAGTCATTCATACATGAAAAAATGACAAAGATTTACTATTTTCAAAACACTTTGCAGGCCACATGTCACCCACAAGCCATATTTTAAGTAGGTGAGCTCTAACTGTTCAGCCATGGAGATCACTATAGCAAATCAATGCTCAATTACTCCTTTTTTTTATAAAATGCACATCATTGTTGGAACTTTCAATGTCTATATTTGCAAAATTATATTTTCACATCCCAAAATAAACAGTAATTCAAAGAAATTAAAATCCATTAATTACTTTGACAAGATCTTTAAACTTTAAATATAAACACAAAGCATCCAGATAATTTGAATAATTGATTTTTATAATTTTTGCATATTATATTAGACATAAATTTAATAATTTGCACAAAAAAATCCCAAAGAAATACAAAATAATTAAGAAACATTGTTTGAAGCTTTTTTTATTCAAATTGTTCATCTTATCCAAAAATATTGAACTTAGAATATAGGTTTTCAGACCATACATCATACTTATTATAAAACCCAGGTTGTGTGTGTGTGTGTGTGTGT